ATAACCTAATCCTACAGACCACATCACCACCATAACGGAGCTATAACCCAGATCCTAGATCATCACCATCATAACGGAGCTATAACCCAGATCCTAGATTAACACCACCATAACGGATCTATAACCTAATCCTACAGACCACATCACCACCATAACGGAGCTATAACCCAGATCCTAGATTAACACCACCATAACGGAGCTATAACCTAATCCTACAGACCACATCACCACCATAACGGAGCTATAACCCAGATCCTAGATTAACACCACCATAACGGAGCTATAACCTAATCCTACAGAACACACCAACTCACCCAGATCCTAGGTCGACATCATCATAACGGAGCTATAACACATTAACTCACCAAGATCCTAGGTCGACATCATCTGGCACTGGCAAGATTGGCGCTAAGTCTTGACCACCTGGTGACGTCCGCGATTCCTTGGGAATCACCTGATCGATGCCACTGACGTAGTTGTCAATCAGCTTGCCAAAGTTGAATCGGATGATGGCACCAAAAGCTAGAATTATGATGCCCCATATCTGCAACCAGAGTGAACCGAATCATTCAAAGAATAGTTAGATATGGCTAGGCAAGGCAGTGTTAGCAAAATACATCAAGAGCATTTGTTAATATTTAATTAAGCAGAATATATTAATATCAATGCAATTCATTGAGTCAATCTATAGTTTAGCTAAATTTATTACTGTCTATAAAATGCATGGAATCTAGGCAGATCTAACTAGACTTGGTAGTTATAACAAATTTGTTTAAAAAGTGAGGATTAAACCAGGTTTTGCGGAATATACTTTCATATAAATAGTTGATGTATTTTGAGGAGAATTGACTGCACTATCCACGTGAGTCAAAGGGGCTAGTTTGGGTTAGTCAGAATGTGTTGGAATAAACAAATTATAGGTTAGTTAGAGCCAAGATCCTAAGGAAACAAATATGTAGACAAAAGAAGCATTGTGGGTTGGGTTTTGTCCTAGATTGCTTAATAATGTATGGACAATTTTACGTATTCTGCCTTCATTGTCGTCAGGGTATTTCGTTTCTTTTTTTTTATACTGTTGATATCGCTGTTATGGGAAGGGTTAGGACAAAGGGCAAAATTAAAGTTAGGGACATTGATAAAGTAAGAGTAGTTGGTTCAACTAAAAATCTCGGCAGGATAAGTGTTAGGGTTAGTTTCATGGCTACCGTCAGGACTTGGGTTAGGTAGATCCCCTAACCTATGTCATACATATGCAAAGACCCTCAATGCTATATACAATTTTAAATCAACCCTTCTATTATTTATTGTTTACAAAGACCCCCTACATTATATATCATTCGCAGACCGCTGTACTAAAACATACAAAGACTCCCTAAACTATATCACTTTTACGAAGACATCACCTCCCTACACAATATAACATACATAGACACCTGCCTATATATACAGTGATATAAACTTGTAATACACAAACTGGTTTTAAATGCACGATCGCTTACGGTTAAGGCTGAGGTTAGGAGTAATGCGAGCAGTAAGGTATCGATTCTAGCTAATATACTCGAATACGCCATGCTGACTTATTCATAAAAATGGGGTAGCAATTCTAGCAAATAAATATTTTTTAAATTCAATTCCGCTCTGCAAGTAATCACATAAATTCATATTCCTTAAGATATCAAACTGGTTAGCCTAAAAAATAACAAGTAATCGCATACATTCGTATGCCTGTGATATTACATAACTGGTTAGCCTTTAAAAAAAGCGTACCTCACAAGAAAGAACTTACTAATGATATTGCCATGGTGACGGCAAGTATGTAATCGAATCTCGCCATTTTGAGCTCTCGCTTGACACCGCTCACGGAAACATAGATGTTTCTGTAGAACAACAGACATGTCTTAGAGATTAGCCGTACCCACTTAATCCATGGCACGGGGTGTGGGGTGTAGGGCGAGTTATGCGTTTAAAATTAGTTGTAAGCCTAGGGGTAAGAAGGTTAGATACGGGTAGAGGTTAGGTTTAAAGTAAAGTTATCGCCACATAATATTGCTGTAGCTTGATGTATAAAAAGTTGTGGGTGCGTAAGTGCCCTGGTGGTCCACGGGCGCAGGTGAAGTAGAGTTCACCTGTTTCATTGACCTCGGCATGTCTAGAGGGGGGCTGGGTGGATTCTGGGACAACCCACGGGACCCAGCCCGGTAGTGGGTTTTAGACTAATCTAGAATCTAGATGTATCAAAACAATGTTATGGAAGCTGGCACATTTTTATAGAGAAACCCTCTCGATAAAGTGGGCAAGTCTTTAAACTTATAAAACAAATGAGCATTTAGATTTCAACAGGGGTGTATTAGAATATTCATTCTGATCATGGTGCCACTCCCCCCTCCTCCCACCCCCTCAACACAACCAGGAAGCAATCCATTATATATTACTGATGTTTAAAATCAAACATAGATCTTGAGTCTAGATTAGAGCTTGAGCTAAATTTGACTTTTAGATTAGTAATTAAGGCAAACCTAAGTTTGGGTAGGAGTCAGGACTAGGATAGAGGATTATGTTTTGGTTTAGGAATTAGGGATAAAGTATCAACTTCAGCTATCGAGAATGGGGAATGACTCAGTGAACAGTACAAATGTTGCTCCCTACAAGTCAGTCAACACATGTTTAAACAGGGGGAAAGTAATCCTGAGCGATCTAAAAAGTATAAGCACTTTTCGATTAGCCGTACCCTCATGTAGTCTATATAGTAGTGTATAGATCTAGATCTAATACATATTCACAGCAAGTAGCAAGCTTCTTACTGTAAACCATTGTTGGGTTATAGTTAGACATTTGTTCAAAGCACAATCAGGTTTAGGACTAGAATCTAGATAGGGTAAGTGATTGCTAGGGTTAGGATCGAGGTTAAAGTATCGCTATTTAAACCTAACGAATAGCTCTGGCGAATCAATGAATACTTAATTAACGATTCTATTTATAGCATTGTCACTTACCAGACGCAAAATAAATCCTTTGACCCCCTCTTCTATTCACCACTGGACCTTTCACTTCTCTTCAATACTTGCCTTGTGAAAAAAAGTGGAGTTTATGTGGTACTGCCAGTGGTCCAAACTTTGGGATATGTCATGATGGTTGTTTTTTTACGATGTTTTTTTTAAAGTATTAGATGTTAAAATAATGAACGGTTTATAGAAAGCCTAATCATGGCCAAGGCTTTCTCACGATCGTAAACACGAACTCACAAAATGGTGACGCGCATCATGGAGACTTTTCATTTGTTTAGAGAGTACCACACATGTTAATGACGTCATACCGGCGGAGGGTGTTTTATACTGCTAACAAAAAATGTAAATAAAAAATAAAAAAATGTTTTTAAAAAGAGCACTGATGTTAGTGATGTAGGCTATATATTTAGGCCTAGCATGATAAGGGATTTTTTAGACATTCGAACTATAAAGTAATTAGCAAAATAGTATTAAAACCGAAAGGAACAACTTAAGAAGAATAGACTTTTCAAAAGTAGACTTCAATTAATAATAAAATTATTGATAGAACTCTTTATGAGACGAATCTTGTATATTCGAAGATCCGTTTTTTTTATAATCTTCAGCACTGGAAAAGTGGAAAAATGACGTTCGATAGTACATATTCACCAAAGTCTACTATAATGTTTTTACCAATCACGGTCGGGCGGGAGATCACATGATCGCTAGCTCTTAAAGTCCCGAGTTCGGAACCCATGGCAGATGAAGCTCGTAAGTGAAAAGGAAGGGGGGGGGGGGCAACCAAACTCGGAAAGAAAACAACCAAATAATAAATAAAAACAAGTTCTGCCTTGCAGAATATTCTTGGGCAGCAGGTTGATTTGGGAGTCAGAATCAACGGGCCATATGACGCACACATTGACTCGTAAAAACAGACCCAACCGAGAATAGTCTCGAATGGTTAACTTAACTTTTTATAGAATCGGGTGCGATGTTATTAAAATAAATGTGGATATAAAAACTGGATTGTTTGGTTTTTGTCTAACTTTATTAATTGAAGATCGGACGTATTTGTCTGTCTTAGTAATTTCGGTAACTAGACAAGATTTTTAAAAAAGCAAAAATTATTTGGTTTTCACGTGGTAAGACATAAACAAAAACATCCTGCTGTTCCATAGGCTAGCATATGCGCAGTGAACTAATATTTTCTTAATATTATAATATTACCAATAGCAGAGGCGATACTTTAAATTCACGTTGGCCCGGAAGTATTTATATTTGGTAAAAAAATTATTAAAATATGGCCAAATTTACCATGTGAACATAATTGTTTACTGAAATGTATTCTCAAAGTAACATTTTTTCTTCACTTTCTCTGCATTTGCAACTTTTATATCATAGTTTCAAAACTAAAAATATGAAATTTCTGAATTTGTTTTTCAGGCTATACTTTTTGTTTTACGGCCAAGTCGAAAAAAAAAACAAGAAAAAAAAAAACAACATACCACGCTTTTTATCCGTCAAAAGAAAGATCAGGAGACGTGACTTGGAAACATACACCAAGAAGATTGGATATACCTGGGGACAGTTGGAGAGACTAGCCCAGGACAGAGGCGCCTGACACCAAGAAGATTGGATACACCTGGGGACAGTTGGAGAGACTAGCCCAGGACAGAGGCGCCTCGAAAGCTCTTGTCAGCGGTCTATGCCCCAGGAGGGGCGAAAGGCAAACCTTACTTAACCTAACCCACATATTTAACACCAAACACCCACAAAAACCACCTTTACTTACATAGTTGCCACCAGGTACACTCATAGTTCATAGTTACTACTAGGTACCCACAGTCACCACTAGGTACCCACAGTTAACATCAGGTACCCATAGTCATCACTAGGTACCCACAGTCACCACTAGGTACCCATAGTCACCACCCACCAGATACCACCAATCATCAACAGGTACCCAGTACCCACATAGTCACCACTAGGTACCCAGTCACCACTAGGTACCCACAGTAACCACCAGGTACCTAGTTACCACCAAGTACCCACAGTCACCAACAGGTACACAAAGTCACCACTAGGTACCCACAATCACCACTAGGTTCCCATAGTCACCACTAGGTACCCACAATCACCACTAGGTTCCCATAGTCACCACTTGGTACCCACAATCACCACTAGGTACCCACAATCACCACTAGGTTCCCATAGTCACCACTAGGTACCCATAGTCACCACTAGGTACCCACAATCACCACTAGGTTCCCATAGTCACCACTTGGTACCCATAGTCGCCATTAGGAACACACAGTCACCACATAAATACCACCAGTTAACACCATCATCCACATGAATGACGTCATGCAAAAATTTACGACTTCCAACCTTTGTTAAAGACACTCAACAAACCAACCATTGTTACCCCCCCACCCCCCACACACGCAACAAACCAACCATTGTTACACACACACACAACAAACCAACAATTGTTACACACACACAACAAACCTACTTTAATCGTTGTTCACGAGAAAACAGAAACACACGTATGCACGTTCAGAATATATTTTATTAGCAGTAAAAGTATTGCAATAAAAACCATACAAGAAAGCCTTTAAACAGATATCTAAGATCAACATTGATGCATTGAGTGATGGTCCAGTACCACTTCACCCTACAATAGCGTGGTCGGGTAGTAGAGCGTACGACTATTAACATGAGTCTCGACTTCGAATCCCGAGCTAGTCATCCCGCTCTGATGGGTACTTGACTCACGTCAGGGAAAGTAAAGGCGACGTGATTATACTGCTGACCACATTATCTGTTCGTATGGCGAGGTCACAGAAACAGGTGAACTCTACCTCATCTGCCACATTGACCGCCAGGTTCGAAAGTGTAATTTTACTAAAGCCATATACGCCCACCAATAACTTTTAACTTTAGTCTGGTACATCTAGCATTGGTGCTACATTTAGTTGACAACAGCGATTTTAAACTGCTGACGTTAGCATACAATATTCTGATTTGCTTTGGCTTGATACAGCAAATAAAAGGAAGACACGCCCACCAGTAACTTTTAACTTGTCCAGAACATCTAACAATGGCGCTACATCCGACAACAGAGATTTTAAACTGCTAACTTTATAAATGTAAAAATCTGATTTGCTTTAGCTTGAAATAACAAAAAAAAAAAAAAAAAAAATGACGTACAAAAATTACACTCTATAGCAGGCCAGTGAAAACGATCCACTAAAAAAACCAAACAAGGGCCCGCAACTCAGCTACAACCCAGCTGATAAATCAATGCTAGGAAAACAAATCTGTCATAAAATAAAGGCTTCTCACAGTCCACTTGACAGTATCGACCTTAACCCTTTGTATGCCGTAGACTTAATAGGGTTGTTCTCTATATTGGCTAAAAACAAGACGAGGGAAATAAGGTAGACAAAGCGTTCAAGAAAGGGCCAAAAGTAATTTCTAATTTTAAATATTTTTAGCATTCAAATAAATAACTATCAATTCCAAAGGAAATGATTTTCATCCAAAAAGCATGTTTTTAACAGAAATACATTTGGGATAAACTACTGTTTAATGCTTGGTGGCATTTCGGTTAATAAGCGTTTTTCCAACAGTCCGGTATTTAGACCAAATATTTTATAATTTTAAGTCTTCACTTTCGATTGAAATTCTGTATTAATAACTTAAAATACTAATAAAATATTCTAAACATATAAAAAAAATAGAACATATTCATTTATGAGCATGTATTGAACAAAAACTTAAGTTTTAGTTGTGATTATTTTATCAAGATGGGCAGTGGCGTCACTAGGACGGGTGTCACCCGGTGCGGTACACCCCCCCCATTGTAACCCTTCTGTCTATATCAATATACAATTATTTTTTTTTAACAATTGGTTCATATGTCACAGTCGAACAACAAATTTTTTCAAAATGAAGAACTACAGGACAGTTAGCAACGTAATCCATACATTTAGTGGCTTAAAAAAGGTGGGGGTGATCGGGTAACACCAATTAAGTATTTCTTCTAGACTTTTTTTCTCCGGGGGGGGGGGGGGTCGTTTTCAGGGGGACGGACTAAAATTTCCGGGGGGGGGGGGCGACGACGACACTGGTAAAAGTATATATTTTCTATATAAATTCTATTTCGTTCGGGGGGGGGGGGGGGGTAGATGCTGTCTCAGATGCCCGGAAAAGAATTCTGCATCAATTTTAGGGGGGGGGGGGGTGAAATCTCATCTAAAAAATTTACCATCAAAATAATGTTTTATCCAGTAAAAAAATAAATAAAATAGTAGGACAGAGGGGTGACACCAAACCAAAAAAATGGTGATAACCAACATAGTGACGCCACTGCATACGTTTGAATCGTTTTTAAACTAAGTATAATTCATGTTGTAGTTCAATATTGGGAGTTGATATTTTAAAAGGTTATTCATTTCTCCCTCCACATCTACACAAATTGGACGGTTACAAAATACTTTCCAATTTATAATTAATTGCTTAAGGCAGATAATGAAGTCAAACTGCGCCTAATTAAAATAAAAAGTCACCATTTTCAAATATCACAAAGTTTGTAATGAACTGGGAAAGCAAAATGGAATATAAAGCACTGGTCCATAATCAGTATATACTTGAACATTGCACACACATTTTCTTCTTCAAATATACTCCAATACAGGCAGTAGTGTGAAGGCAAAATATGTTCATCAACATACAGATGCAGAACAAAGGTTCAATATAACATTTTATGTCAATAGGCCATACATATCTTTCTTAAAACATATTTAATAGGCATAAAAATAGTTACGGTTAAAAATTAGTTATGACATAATGAATTAAATTTAATTAAGACTAAAATCCATTTTGGTCATATAAAGATGTCTTCATCACAACAGGTATACAATACTGTGTATTTCAACATTCACATGGCAAATGTCAGTAAAATCCATCTTGGAAAAAATAAGCACAATAAAAATCAACACCGTTTGTCAGGTAACACGTCATTAGGTAGTCACCACATCAATAGGTGAGGCTGGTGTTTGAGGAAAATGTTTGTTTGTGAGCTACATAGTTTGTATGGTGGGTGAAAGGTGTGTTGTTGCTCATTGTGTACAATGTGTGTACACAGGTGTAACCAAGGTGTGTACACAGATGTGACCCAGGTGTGTTCAACGTGTGACCAAGCATCAATGAAGAAATATGACTAGGAGTTTTTGCCTTGCAGTGATACCTGTGACTTGCAGTGATGTATGTGACAGTGATGTCTGTGACTTGCAGTGATGTTTGTGACTTGCAGTGATGTCTGTGACTTGCAGTGATGTCTGTGACTTGCAGTGATGTCTGTGACTTGCAGTGATGTCTGTGACTTGCAGTGATGTCTGTGACTTGCAGTGATGTCTGTGACTTGCAGTGATGTATGTGACAGTGATATCTGTGGCAGTGATGTCTGTGACTTGCAGTGATGTCTGTGACTTGCAGTGATGTCTTGCAGTGATGTCTGTGACAGTGATGTCTGTGACAGTGATGTCTGTGACTTGCAGTGATGTCTGTGACAGTGATGTCTGTGACAGTGATGTCTGTGACTTGCAGTGATGTCTGTGACAGTGATGTCTGTGACTTGCAGTGATGTCTGTGACTTGCAGTGATATCTGTGGCAGTGATGTCTGTGACTTACAGTGATGTCTGTGACTTGCAGTGATGTCTGTGACTTGCAGTGATGTCTGTGACTTGCCTTGATGACTGTGACTTGCAGTGATGTCTGTGACTTGCATTCATGACTGAGCTACAATAATGGCATCACGACGACTAAGTGTGCGAGTTGGACGGAGTGTGTAAAAGATGAGTGATTGACTCGACTGTTCTGTGATGGAATCGATCCAGGGCATCAATAGATGACCGGTCAGTGAGCAGTTTCATTAGATGGACCCAGTCCGCTGACAAGATTGGCTGGAACACATTGCAAACATTTCAAAAGAAACAATACGCAAGAACATTTAAAACATACCAATATATATATATATATATATATATATATATATATATATATATATATATATATATATATATATATATATTGCTTTTTTACATTTCATTAATTAGTTCTTTATAGTAACACACATATTAGATTGCGGTGATTGGATGGTAATTCCATTACTCACCTCGACCTGCACGTTGTTTTGACACAACTTCCTCAACGCCCGTATCCTGTCGTCTGCCAGAAACTTGCCCTGGTGCTCACCTTTTGCGGCCAGCGCCTTCTGCACGACATCCCCTAGGGCGGCGATCTTCAGCTTCACAATAACTTCCTTGCCCTGTTCGGAGATAAGGCAACAGTTTGTGCTTTTAGAGCTTCAATGCCCTCATCGAACAGATGGCAACAACCTTAAATTTAACAACTTTACACATTGACCACGCAACCCTCTCTATGTATGTACTGACCACTCCCCTGTCCATGTGAGTACACATGGCCATACACCCCTCTCTATGCATGTACTGACCATACCCCTGCCTATATGAGTACATACTGACCACACCCCTACCTATGTGAGTACATACTGACCACACCCCTGCCTATGTGAGTACATACTGACCACACCCCTGCCTATGTGAGTACATACTGACCATACGCCCCTCTCTATGTATATACTGACCACTCTTATGCCTATGTAAATACATACTGACCACACCCCTCTATGCATATACTGACCACACCCCTGCCTATGTGAATACATACTGACCACACCCCTCTAAGCATATACTGACCACTCCCCTGCCTATATGAGTACATATAAAAACCCCACTGACCTCCGTGCGAATGTTGTTCAGCCACAAACCAATCCCGTGCGAGGTCGTATCCATGGGCACGCAGCACAGGTAAATATTGACCTCGACCTTGAGCGCGTGCTGGCAGTTGAGCTGACTGCCGAGCCAGTCCACGAACAGATCCTCGGAGCGCGACCACTCGGTCCGCTTAGAGCCCTCGTGGATGATCTGGCGGGAGAAGGAGTCACCCTGGTCGCACTCGATGGTGCAGACGACCACGGTCTCCTCCGAGTTGGGGCACCACTCCATGTTCTTGGCCTCGTAGTTGCGGACACAGTTGGGGTGGTTGTCGTTCTTGTTCAGGTCGAGGTTGGGGTTGTTGTTGGCCGGCTGGTTGCCAAGGCCAACGGTTTTCCGGAACTCCGAGGTGGCGGCGTTCCATAGGATGTGGAAGGCCGGGAGTAGGGGGTTCAGAGATGTTGTCATCTTCTACACGATACAAGTTTCCGGAATTCTAAAAAAAATGAAGACAAAAAAGTTTTAAAAAACACAAACAGAAGTTAAAAGCACTATGCTAACCCGAAAGTCTCGAATTCGGATCCCGAATGACTTCCCCGAGTCAACCCAGCTCTAATGGGTATCTGTCTTACATTAGGAAAAGGAAAGCAGATGTTGACCACACTATCCCTATATATGCTGAGGTACCTGAAACAGGTGAACTCTAATTCACTTGCCCCATGGACCATACGGTTCGAGAGGGTACTTTATTTGCTTTTAATATTTTAAAAAAAAATGAAGACGTTAAAATGAAGAACATATATCGGGGTGCTCCCCTACAAAACACCAGAACCCTTGTTTAGAGTTCTAGTCACAGTTTGGGAGTCATATATCAGGGTGCTTCCCTACAAAACACCAGAACCCTTGTTTAGAGTTCTAATCACAGTTTGGGAGTCATATATCGGGGTACTCCCCTACAAAACACCAGAACCCTTGTTTAGAGTTCTAATCACAGTTTGGGAGTCATATATCGGGGTACTCCCCTACAAAACACCAGAACCCTTGTTGCTTAGAGTTCTATTCTCTGAGGACTCAGTCATCACGAGCCAGATCCAGGACGCAGAAGACAGGATAATCTACGTGACCTTTGACCTAAATGCCGGCTGCTCATCAGGGAATCACGTGCCGTGCTCGTGTGTGTAACGAGGGTGACACGACCAACGTTAACCGCCGCAGCAGGTGGCCTGTGTTTGGTTAGGCTTATCGGGTTACACGTGACCGCAGGTTAGAGTTACAGAGAGGATAAATTGTTTTGTGTGAGAGAAGGGGGGGGGGGGGTGTTAAGTGTTTTTTTTTTTTTGTTTTTTGTTTTTTTTTGTTTAGACATTCTTGTAAACTAAAAAATTGGGGAAAAAACAAAAACAAAACAAAAATATCAGTAGAATGTGTTCCCTTAAAGTTTTAACACAGACCCTAATTTCTAATACTAAACCGATTGTGTACATAGGTATAGAGATAGGGGGGACTAAGGGACATCTATAAATAGCATCATTCAATATGGGGAAATAATAACCCCGCCATTTTTTTCTATTTCATATACTGATAAAGACCCCCCCCCCTTCCCAACGAATGCTGGGTACGCATTAAAGTCTGTGACATAGAGCTGACTAGATCCCAGCACCAAAATCGTAAACAGTCGCCCGAGAATCTAGATCTAAATCTATATCTACAAATTTAAAAAGTCGACTCAGGCCTATTTTGTGAAATATGCGCAGATCTATAATGCAATGTTGCGGAACAAAACAAATACAAAAGCGACGGGACATGTTGTATTTGTTGTATGATAGTGTGACACATAGCTGACCTAGATTTCAAGGACAAATTTGTCAGCTTGACCTAATTTTTTCTGAGCGACTAGGCCTAACATGAATTTTATCTTTGTTTTTGTTTACCTATTAGAATATTTAGGCGGTTAGTAAGTTTCTAATGTTTAGCACATGTCTATGAAGCTACAATAACAGTCTTTTAAAAAAGGGCAAAACGTTTTTTCTAATAAGACGCAACAGGTCTCACTGCATTCAGGTTTTTTTTTTGTTTGCTTGTATCATTATCATAACTTTAATCCTAACCAACCACACTGCCACATCGACGTCACCAACCACCAGTTTCTTCCAGGCATCTCTTCGGGGGGCTTTGCCCCCCCCCCCCCCGAAAATTTTTTACCGCCCCCCCTGGACGAAATGAAATTTATATAATTTATATAGAAAATATAAACTTTCAACAGTGTCCGCCCCCCCCCCGAAGAAAGTCTACCGCCCCCCCCCCCCGAAAATTTCAAGTGCCCCCCCCCCCCCCCCGGAGAAAAAAGTCTGGAAGAAACACTGCCAACCACACTGCCCACAACACAATGACGTCACCAACCCATTTTTTTTTCCTCTTGTGTGCTTTCTGAAATCATCCCAACATGTGCCTTTAAACACTCTTAAGGTTCAAAAAATATATATTTTACCAGAAAAAAACAAATGAATTACTTACCCCCCCCCTCCCTTCCTCCAACCATAATTATAGACCCAAACAAGACCAATTAACACTCCGTCCTGATGACTAATTAGTTACTCGTTGTGCAACACGTAAGTTAAGAAAACAAAACCTAATTAGACCTGTATTGGTAATTAAAACCTGGACGACACACCACATCAACATAGGTGGACGACAACACGTCAACTTAGGGAACAACACACATCAGCACAGCCAACTTACATTGTTTACGACAACATCAACAGTATAAATATAACCAAAGTTCTTATCTCTAAAACGGGTCAAAAAACATGTACCGACAGATTTGAACTTAACACACCTAACATAGCAAGGTGGTTTGTTTACCACTTGACCAGGAATGGTGTCAGAGCGACAGGAATTTTTGTTTTATTATAGGAGTAGGCATTTGACACCATCACTTGCATGGTTTTAGAGTTGAATATTAAAAGTTGACACCACTAATAGGTGGTGAATAAATGACATCATATCAATGTGTATTTGTGGGGGGGGGGGTATTTAGACAGGGGGATGCATCTTTGTGACGTCATTAAAAGGGCGTCTGACTTTGTGACCGAGATGTGGCGTAAATGGACTGCTAATTTAGCATAACGCCCTTTATAAAAGATCTAGGAAAATATAACAGGACAGGCTAAGAAAGAAAAATCTTAAATTAGCTGTCTTTGGTTTTTCTAGTTTACTAACAAACTATGTATATTTGATGATCGCGGAAGGGGGGGGGGGTAAAAACCTATAGTTGCTAAACTACATCTATTCTCAGGTAAAGCTTAACCTAAAAAAACAACTGAAACGCCCCCCCCCCCCCCCCCCTAACATTGACAGTGTGAGAGTAAACTAGGTTAGTGATAGTGTCATTGATCTACATGAACCCACCCCGATTCAAACAATAGCATGCTGTTTCTGAACTATATAGACATGTATATAAAAGTAAATAATGTAGGTCTATAATACTCTATACTGCACATTTATGACAGTAGCCTACATATGTATGTATTTATATAATGGGCATCATTGAAAAAACGTTGGCCATTATAAATATAAACTATAAATTATCCTTATGTACAATAATTATCGAATTATTAATTTCTATTAATAGGCCTACTACACTATACTATAGCATTTTGTTTTTGTTTTGAAATGTTGACGTTTGTTTTCGACAACCTTTAGCAAGTTCAATCAAGTTATACGGTTTTTAAATATTTTAAATTAAAAGTCACATCAAATGACATTTTAAAAAATATATTATAAGTTAACCGTCATCTCTTAGAAGTGTGGACCAAAAAAATAAACACATAAATCTAGATCTAAGTAAATAAAAAATAAAAACAACTTACGTCTTAGTAGTCCAGCAGCTGTCTGCACGAACGATAACTCTCAATGTTTTTTTTTTCTCTCCAACCAAGCAGACGGTTGAAAAAAATGGCGAAGCAGATAAATATTTAAATTGATCTCGAACAGTTTTGGATCTCGAATAAACTGTACTCACACATCAACTGCCGGTGCCTGTCTGGTTGCTTCTAGAACATGCAGGAGCCAGATACCGGGTTAAACAATGATGTCAGCTTGACTGTGGCCTCGGAAAGCCGTAACCTCATCCGATTTACATACTGTCTGAAACTGGGTCAACAGCTACGGTAAAGACGAACTTTTTTGTCGGTAACTTGTTTACGTTTTATAAATATTCAAGGTCCGTGCTACTAAACTTCAAATAAAGAGCGGGCAATAGCCTAGTTTCAGCCACATTGTTGTTAGAGTTAGTTAGGGCCATGGTTTATGTTAACTGTTAACACCGATACCAACAAAGAAAGTTCGACACGGCTAAATAAACCTTGGTACGGTAAGCCAGAGTATAGTAAACAACTTTTGTAAGGCAAGTCACGATGTAATTAATATTGAACTAAATATTATTATACATGACATTAATTGTAGTGAAAAAATAACATTGCCTTTTTCTTTATATCTAGCAATCTTTTGTCTTGGTGTCAACGCCCTTAAATTGTGTCAAAAGTTACGACGATTCACACACCTGAATCACCCCCCCCCCCCCATCCA